ATCAACACGAGATTTCATTGATAAACATCGCTAGAAAATACATAAAAAAATTTATAGTAAATTAATGCATCCAGAATCAACTTTGAATTTAAAAAATATTAGTGAAAGAGAAAAAAAGATTGTTAATCAAGAGGCAACTCTCCACCATATAGCTAGAGTAGTACAAACTTCATTGTTGTAGTCTTGCCCACTATAGATGATATCCGTATTGAATCTAATCCATTTTTTTTTTAGTTTTCTGCTGCGTTATTCGTATTATATATTATATTTGGCCTACTTGTGAATTTGGATATTTCTTCTAGTGGACCGTTTCTTAAATCTTTATTCATCCAAATCAGTATCAAGACCTATACCTTAAAGCTTCCTGCTAGTGTTTATCCATCCTCTTCTTCTTCTATGTTACTCTCTACTTTTTAATCAATTCTAGACCTCCACTCTCAAATCATCTTACCAAACCTATAACCACTACCCAAATTTCTTATTCCCTAAACTTACATCTCCTTCATTTCTTCCTTCTAAACATGTGGGTAGCTACATCCTTAAGAAGCTCCTCTTTCAAATCTTTAAGGTGTACAAAACTTTTTTTTTTTTCAGTGTTCGTGGTCTAAATTACTTGGATAGACATCAATCCTTTGTAATTGGTTTTATCTTAGCCAACCTCTTTTTGACACTATATTAGAGTTTCATATCAAAGAATCTAACATGAACCATGTGATGTATAGAGTCTGTTCTGGATGGAATTTTGCTTCCATCCAGGCTATGGATGAAAGTGGGAGAATCATTGTGATTTAGAAGTCACATGTTGTTGTCAATCTAAATCATCAATCTAGACAGTCCCTCACTTATATGTTACAACTAGCCAATGGCCAACAGTTTTACTATATTGTTGTTTAGGCCTCAAATATATTGGAGAAAGAACTAATATATGAATTGATCAATTGAATCTTCACCAGTTTCACTCTCTAAGCTCTTTCCCTAGGGTCATGGGTGGGGACTTCAACCAGATTTTAAACTATGTTGAGTTTTCCTTGCCAAATATAAGCACCCTGGATTCTAACATGTTAGACTTTAGAGTCTGCCTCCTCCAACTAGGTTTATTTGATCCCAAATATCAGGATCCTCTGTTCACCCGGATTAATAAACATATCACTCCTATTACTAAGAAGCTGGATAGAGTGCTTGTCAAATATAATTGGATATCATCTTTTCCTAATAGCTCATTTAACATGTTAGACTTTAGAGACAGCCTCCTCCAACTAGGGTTATTTGATCTCAAATATCAGGATCCTCTTTTCGGCCGGATTAATAAACTACATGTCACTCCTATTACTAAAAAGCTGGATAGAGTCCTTGTCAAATATAATTGGATATCATATTTTCCTAATAGCTCATCTACTTCTAGCCCGCCCTTCTCAGATCATTGCCTTTGCCTCTAAGACCTTTCTTCTTCTTTACCAACTTCTGGAACCAAACCCTTCAAATTTTTTAACTTTCTCACAAACACCCTAGCTTTTTCACAGTAGTTGAGGATGATTGGATACATGCCAGAAGTTATGCTTCTAACCTAGCAACTCTATGTTGGAAGCTGAAATCCCTAAAACGGATTCTCAAAACTTTAAACAAAGAAAAATTTCATATATATTCAGACGGGTGTGAGAGAGACTAACTGTTTGTTACAAAGCGTGCATGTACTTGCTCTTAATAAGCCTTCTCCAGCACTATTCCAAGAAGAAAGAGACGAAGAAAGATATGGCACGAGTTTCATATGCTTCTGTA